GTCTACAAATTTTTCGTTTACCCCCCGTTTCTCCATGTCATTTATTATTTTCTAATTGATTGAATATGTAACTTCTGGTATTGCCTCAAAATAAAAATAATCATTAGTGCCCTCTTCTTTTTACCTTAATGCCTTTATACATTTTTTAATGATTTACGTTTCAACATACCAGAAACTAGACACACAATCAATAAAAAAACAAAGATTTCATATTCGTGCAGGAATGGAACTAAGCGCTGCGTGCCCGATTTGCCTGCTCCTCTGCAAGCAGTGAGAGTATTTGCAATGGCAAAAAACGACCTTTCAGCCCCAGATCGGGAGAAAATGGAAAAGAAAAGGTCCCCACCCTATGTTTGGGCCAAACAGCCCATAAAACTCACCTATTGCTGCTGGAGCCTCCGCTGGAACCCGGTTGGTCGCCACTCACGTGGCCGACCGTTCCAAAGCCCAAGAACGCCTTAATGAAGTTCAGAATGCCCAGCAGCGGCGTCAGAAGACTCCAAACAAACCCGGACACGCCCCCTACACCTTGATTGGTTGAAACCACGCCCCCACTCAAAGGCAGCACCAGAATGACTGCATTGGGAGTCAGCTGCAGTTCAGCCAAGGTCTGCGATTGGTCGCTTTCAGAGAACTGCCTCCTAAATCGCAAGAGTATTCGAATTCAGAATATCGTTCTGCGCTAGTTTATTCGCAGTTCACCTGGGGAATGTGGTCGATAGTGTGAACTTTTTGGAAGCAAGATTGAAATTCGCCTTGACGAAATTGAGTACCGAGAGCAGTTTGTCGCTGCTGGGGAAATCCTGGGTTTTAGAGGAACCATCCGGGAGTTTGAACTGCAGTCGGGCAGTGTTGGAGTTGGCTCGGCTTGTTGAAGGGCCAGCCACAGGCTGGGAAAAGTGTTGATTGGTTAAAAAGCATCGAAAAACTTTTGCGACTGTATACCTGCGAAGCCTCCGACAGAGTGGGAGTGGAAGCTGCTGGAGGCTTAAACTTTGCGACCCTTTCCGCCTTGTCCTGCTCGATTTGCGCCCGAACGCGGTCCCGTGCCTCCTTCTCTTCACGCTTTTCCTTTTCCCTCTCCTCCTTCAGCTGCTTCAGCTCCTGGTCCTCTTGCCATTTTTTCATTTTCTGCGCCTCCTGCCCCGTCCTGCGACGCTCCAACTCGCGCTGCCGCTCCTCCTAGGCAAACCGTTAAAACCCGCGCGGACCACACTTGCTCTTTGCTACCTCTTGCTCCTTTTTCTCTTTCTCCAGCCTTTTGGCTTCTAGCAGTTTCTTTGCCCGCTCGATTTTCTCTTCCGCAGCCAGACGATCACCTTCCGAGGTGGGATCGTCGGATGGTGGGTCGCGCTTGATCGTGCAAACCCCATTTTCGCACACCACATTGCGAGCACTTGCCGTCTGTTCGTTGCTGATTAAGTCGGCTGTAGCTGCAGGCATTATTTTGTGTATTTTTGCTGCAATTCATTTAATTGGTACAAACCGACACTTGTGCTGGTAGACGCGCTGATTCCTGCCAAGCGCAGCACCTCCGCGATGTCTGTGGATAAACTAGTGGCATCGGGGGCTTCAGTGACGATTTTTAAAGGCTTGCCACCCTTTTCGATGAAGTATATTGACGGCACTGGGGTCTGCTGAACTGTGAAGCTGTTGTTAAGGAAGTTTTTGCGGCCAGTTAATTGAAGCAATAGTGACTTAACAACCAATCGATGTATGAAAAAAGATGCTTAAGGGGCTCTGGTAGGCTAAAGGCAGGCGAAGTAAAGGATACATAGTTCGATGAACTGCTCATGTGAACGTGACTCAGCTTTGATTTTGATCGCTATAAATGTGTCGCTGTTGAGTTCAGCTACGGCGTCGGACTCGATAAGGGCGGTTAATTGCTGGGACTTTGCGTCCTCCCCTAGATAAAGGAAAATGTTGCTAGGAACTGGGGCTTAGCAGGAAATCCTGGCCTACCTTCTATATAGACCACGAACACTCCGCCCTTCAATTTAAGGGTGTTTATGCCTTCGCTTATGCCGCTGAACCACCGCATTATTCAACAAAATAGTGGCGAATTAATTAATTTTGTTAATAATAAAGTGACGTAGCGATAAATCGGAAAATTACCATCTATGTCAACAGGGAGCAATATAACCTCAAACGGGCCCACTGTTGCCAGACATTCCCCATTATTGAAACACTCAATTCTAAATATCTCTTTTCCATTGCCAAGCGGTTACTTGAACTGCTCAATTGCTCACCCATTTTAATTCCTGAAGCTACTTTTTCTACAGTTTTCCCTGTTCATTGGATAATTTGAATCAAAGTGGCAACGTAACATTAGGCCATGTATGATTAATTTCCCCAACCTAACTACAGATAAAGACAAGTGACTAACCACAGACTACATACTATTGACTAACCCAAGATAACCTCAAATAGTTCTAGTCTACTGTTGACAAACGTGGGTTTCAGTTTTCTTTGCCGTTTTTTGGATATTTGCGCGTAAAATGTCCGATGAACCTCAGGAGAAGCGAAAGAACCGAAAGCGCAAGAAGAGTTTTCTGAAAAATGCCCGAAAGTACGCGAAACGGGGGCACTTTGGCCGGGGCTCCCAAATCGACGAGGACACTTACCAGTACTTTCTGCGTGTGATGGAGACGTTCAAGCAGGAGGCCTTAGATGAAGAAGAAAAAGGTAAGTTCGCACCTCACATGTAAAGCACTCTAAAACATTGGTTTGTCCCATTTCAGCCATCCTGGTTGAACAAGTGCTTCAGCAGACAATTGACAAAGAACTGGACTTTGCTTGTAACCAAGTGGGGTGTCGAGTGCTGGAAACTGTTCTGCCCTTCGCTCAGGACTCAGCATTGGAGAGGTTCATGGAGGAGCTTGGAAATGACATGCGCCCCCTCTGCTCCGATAGGTTTGCTGGTTTCGTCCTGCAAGCTTTGGTTGCAATTTCCGCCAAAAAGTCCCTGGATTCGAGCACCGACCCAGATAAACGGCTCTACTATAGAAAGTTCTTGCAAAAAGTCAGCAATTTCTTGTCGAACAACATGGAAGACTTCGTGTGGGATGGCATAGGAAATCACATACTACGGACGTGTTTGTGTAGTTTAGTGCAGATTCCCGATGAAAAAAAGGAGCAGACAAAGCGGCCTAATATCAAGGATGTTAAGGGCGAAGATGTGAAGAAGGAAGAAGTGGTGGTGCCGGAGGATTATCGGGCCATAGTGAAACAAATTGGCGAGAGGTTGATTGTGTGGCCGCAGTTTGAGGAAATGTGCCATTCAGAGCTCACCGCTGGATTGTTCCAAGTGCTGCTCAAAGCCCTCAAGAAGGCTGACTCTAAACTAATGAAGAGCTACCTGCAAAAGTTACTAACAGAAATATTCCTCAAAAATCAGAGCGGCGAGGAAGCGAAACTACCTCAAGGATTCCTGTCTTCTAGCATGCTGGTGCTGCTGGAAACCGCGCTGCAAGTGGCTGAAAAGAAGATGTTCAACCAAATGTGCGAACAGCTCTTTACAGGAAGAATGCTTCAGCTGGCCTCACTTAGAAGCACAAACTTTGCTGTCCAGAAAGTGATTGCTCAGTGCTCCAACAAGACTCAGGTAATGGAAGCGAACTTTCCCGTCTGAACACTTGTTTTCAAATTTTATTGCTTTTCAGTTCGATCCTTTGTTTGACGAATTGGCCGACCATTTTCTAGAAATAATCGAAAAAGACAATCCAGCTGTTCTGCTGGCTGTTTGCGAAGCCTGCAAGCGACTGTCGACCAAACAGGGCACTTTCGTGCGGGTAAGTGAAGAATGGCAATCTACCAGCGCTCAAGACCAAAGACTCCTTTTATTTTTTAGAACATGATGAAAAGCCTCAACTGCTTGGAGCCGGAGGACCGGCAGCAACATTTTATTCTTTGCATGTGCCGGCTGGCCCCATACGACCCGAAGAGCCCTAAAGCAGGCCTGCTGAAGGAAAAGCTGAGCCTTCAAGGGACGCTTATGCTGCAGCTGATGCTGGAATTTAACAAGCCCATCGCCTTAGTTAACAGCCTGCTCAACATGGACGCTCAGGTGCTGAAAGAGCTTTTCTCGCACTCGATGGGTAGCCATATAGTCGATTCTTATACGAAAAGCGCTTTCATCGGGGAGAGAAGCCGCGAGAAGCTGGTTTGGAAAATGAAGGTTTGCATTTCAATTTACGCAACTTTATCAAGTGTAGTAATTTGGGCGTTTGCATGCAGGATACTTATCAAGAACTAGCAGTTTCCAAGTACGGCTCCCGGGCGTTTGAGGCCATCTGGAACGTAGCCAATATTAAAGGGAAGCTTCAAATCATGCAGGAATTATTGCACAAGGAGCAGCTGTGGTGCAATTCGCAGTTCGGGAAAATTATCGCCAGCAAGGTGAATCTGGCCCTCTTCAAACGAAACAAGGAGACCTGGAAATCTGCCATTGAAGTGAAACCCGAAGAAGCTTAAGGTTAATACATTTTTGTGTTTAGTTTGTCTTTTTCTTGAACCTTTACCATATGCCAAGAGGTTCATTCTGTGGCAAAAAATCCTGACTTCCTTTATGGAATAATACATATATGAATAAATTCAAAGTTTAGGTACTAGCGCATAAATACTGGCCTCCATCCTCAACTTCTGACTTCCCGCTGCTCGCATTGGCCTCCACTGTTTCCTCAAGCTCTTCACTTGAGCGCTGGCTGGACTCCGCTTTTCTTATCTTGTGCTCGCAGTGAAGCTGCTCGATTATTTCCTTCTTGGTTTTGGGAAATTTAATCTGAGTCAAATCCATTGAATGAGTTTGTTTTCTTTGGGGATTGAAGATGAGTTGGCTAGTTACCTACTTGGGACTGTCTTTCAAAGAGCGTGGGCTGCTGGTTCACCCTGCCAAGCATCAGCTCCATCCTCAGCCTGTGTTCTTCGTTTCGCAGCCTTTCTTCGTCCCTCCTGAGCTGCAGCCTGCAGCTGGCGCATGTTAGCGAACTTGAGGATTGATCTATTCAGAGCCTACCTCACGGACAGGTCTTCTTCGTGGCTGTAAGCCAACGTCTGCCACACCGGTTTTTTCCTCATCAACTTTTCTCGCCAGCGCGCCTCCTCCTTCAGCTTGGCCTCCTCCAGCCTCCTGGTCATCTCCATTTCCATGCGCTTCTTGGCTGACTGGATGCGCAACACTGCAGCCAAGTTGGAGCGGTTGATCGAAGACATGTCCCACGAAGAAGCCGTTCTTGTGTCCGAGTTGGATGCTGAAGAGATTCTCGAGTATCCCTTCCTGCCCTGCATGCGGATTTTGAGGTGCTTGCGACAGTGGGAATTATCAAACTTACCTTTTTGGTGCTCTTCAGCTTGAAGGGCCTGGGGCTGGTTGAAATGAACTCATTTTTCAGTTCCTCCAGTTCTCTTTCGTACTTATCGTGGTAGGCCTACGGCGGTTTTCCAAAAATTATTGCTTTGTATCCACCCCCGTAACTCGCTGGGAGGTTCGGGTGTGGAAGGTTTACATAGCGAACGGCTACGATGATGCCCGATTCCCAAGGAAACGCACACAATACGAGGGGGCAGCGAAAACTTAATTGTGATCATACCTTGAAGTTGGGAACTTTTCTGGTCTTTTTGGTTGATTGAGTGCTGTTGTCCGGAGTTTCGAGGTCTCGGTATGATCTGGGACAGACATCGATTTTCGGCCGAGATTTCTCGCGTTTAGCCATCGAAGGCGGTAAAGACGCATGCTTCAACATCTCCTCAGCCCGGATCTTCTTCTGCAAAGCTCTGAAGCGCTGGTTGAAACGACGGCAGCCAAACGCGGCTTTAACCCACCTGTAAAACTCATCTTCGTGCATTTTCTTGTAGATGTAGTTGCTGAAGAGGTTCCTCGGAATGGGTTTTGCTTTGAATTTTTTCGCTTTGACTGGAAGCTCATCGTTGTAGACGCAGGGAAGCGATTTGGAGAACTTCCTGGTCAATTCCTGCATTTCTTCGTCGCGTCTGGTGAACGAAAAGGGCCTCATCTGGGCCTGCAAGTCGGCCTTTCTCTTCTGCTTCAATTGCTCACTTCTGAAACAAAATAAAAACATTAATGCGTTGGCGAGGTAAAAATTTTGAACATCGTTTATTTCATTACGTTTCGGCGAGACAACAGCGCCATCATCAGATTTAAAATTTACACAAGCTCATGATTGGTAAAAATCAACGTTCTTTTAGGTCTTTGCCTTCTTGAAACCGTAAATTTGTGTTTCGAGAGACATTACGTTTCGGCGAGACAACAGCGCCATCATCAGATTTAAAATTTACACAAACTCATGATTGGTAAAACCGTAAAAAATTACCGTAAATTTGTCTTTCGAGAGACAAATTTAAGGTTTCAAGAAGGCAAAGACCTAAAAGAACGTTGATTTTTACCAATCATGAGTTTGTGTAAATTTTAAATCTGA